TAAGTGTGGCAAGAAAGATCATAAAATGCGATGAATTTAACTTAACAAATGTCTTGCTCAATAACAGAAATGTTGGGCTCAATTATGGCCATAAGTTGAGGACTACCTGTATTTAAAGGGATTCACCGTTTTCTGATTGCAACGATGACTATGAAAGTCTAAACAGGAATTATTGGTTTAGGAACAAGTAATCATTCAGTCTTATTTTAAACATGGCTCATTATGAAACTTTTGACTAACCATTTTTTACATTGACTTACAACTAACAAAATAGTATGCCAACATAGCATATCCAATCATTTTATTTCCTGAAAATGTATCACAATTAATATAAATTATGATTACAAAATAGAGTCCAACCTCTAATAAATTTATATAAATCTTCATTAAATCACTTTTGGAATAATTTTAAACTAAATTCCAATTTGGTATTTGCTTAAATAGCATTTCTTTTCCAGTTCTGGTACAGATTTTATTTTTAACTTTTTTTTTTTTCAAAATTTAGAATCAAAATAATTTGGATTATTAAGATAAATACAAGTGAGTTTCTGCTGCATATTCTAGTCACATGTTTATAGATGAGAAGCTGCACTGAGAATCCTTTAATTCAACTTTTTATACCCATTTCTTCTCAATGACCACACAAAACAACGGAAATGTAAAACCACTGGATGGCTTTTTATTATGATAAATTTAAAATAAAAAGGATCAGCGATAACGATGAAGCTGCAAAGTGTTATGTCGTCTCCAGGCAGCACGGCGTGATCCACCAATAGTGTGATGGAACTTGTGGCCCTTGCCAAGGCCACGGCTCTTCCTGCCAGCAGAGGTCAGCCCACGCATCTCTCTGTGTTTGTGAACTGGTTTGGTGATCCATTGGGTATCTGGATTGCGCCTGATTGCTTTGTGGAATGGATCAATCAGAATGACCTCGAAGAATTTGTATGTGGAATCCTCACCCACCCAGTAAGAATTCAGCACTCTCAGAGCTCCACAGTGTCGGCCAGCACGCTCCTAGAAAATGAAATAGTTTAAATATGTATCTATACCTATATGTTATGCAAATGAAATCAGATTGAGAAACATGATGGAAAAGAAATAAGAGTATATAATCACTAAAGTATATACAAGTAATTTAATATTCCCTTTCTTTACATGTAAGTATTTCATTTTCGTCAGTGGCCATTCTCATATTTTCCCCAGCTCTGGATATTTGGCTCCACAAATATTGCTTTGAATAGTTGCTTTACTCAGATATTAGCTATTTGCACTAGTAAACTATTATTCCCAATCAATGCTGCTCAAATGTAAGCCTCCTGCAAACATTCATTTGGCTTGATGTATAATTTTCTGTTTTCTGTATAATTCAAAACACATTGGTTTCCCCATGAGCCAGTACTCTGCATTACCAGCACTCTTTTCTGTATGAAAATTTTCATGAATATACCATGAAAAGTAGTAACATTTGAGTGGCAAAAGTGGAGTTTCTATGTGAGCTATATAGCATTTGAATTTAACTATGTCTCCCAAAAAAATAAGATAATCCTTAAAATCTAATTCATTCCACCAAGAATTAAATCAGTTTGTAATCTTATTTCCAATTGTTTCTGTACTGCTCTATAGATCCAGTTATATTTACACAGAAATAATGTCCTCATGTAAGTGAAGATTATACAGTTACTTAACATAGCATTGTTTATAAATAAAATACACATTCCATCTAATAATAGAAACACTACAGGATCACTATTACTTGGTGAGGAATATTTTCATTAAACTTATTAGTTTAATACATGTTGGACAAAATTATATTGTAATATTACCATAGTGTAATTTATAATTTTATAATCTATTATGCTATAATAAAATGTCTGAAGGTTCTTCTCAAGATTTCCTTACTTCTGCTACGGATTGCAGACTCCGGGCAAATTTTAACTGGTTCACACCATGATGCACAGGCTTTCCATAAGTAGCACCCTTAGGAACTGGACGTTTACGACCACCACGACGAACTCGGATGCGATAGATGACATAACCTACAACAGAAACAAATAGCATTTAACTACTATCATGTCACTCCTAGTCTTTTTGTTTAATGAATATAAGGACTGGGGTGTGTGTGACATGATAGCAGTGTTCCGATATCTCAGGGGTTGCCATAGAGAGGCAGTAAAGCTATTCTCCAAAGCATCCAAGGGCAGGACAAGAAGCAATGGGTGGAAGCTAATCAAGTAAAGAAGCAACCTAGAACTAAGGACAGTTAAAACAATGTAGAACTTGCCTCCAGAAGCTCTGAATGCTTCAACACTGGAAATTCTTAAGAGATTGGACAACCATTTGTCTGAAATTGTATCAGGTTTCCTGCCTAAGCAAAGGGTTGGACCTGAAGACCTCCAAGGTCCCTTCCAACTATTCTATTCTATTCTATTCTATTCTATTCTATTCTATTCTATTCTATTCTATTCTATAACTTCTGTCCAAGCTACCTGGCTATTCTGTATTTTTGATCCACATACGCCCATTTTGTTAAACTGAGATGATTTACAGCAACAAAAAATGGCAATTAGATTCACATAATATGGACAAAGAGAATTGTTAAGATTTGCTACCTTATGTAAGAATTGTTTCTATCAAATTGACTTGTCAGATGTTTTCTGCAGTTTATCCTCTTTGGGCGTATAGCTACGTTCCAGTTAACTAATAATAATAATTCCTATAGTGAGCAGTATATCAGATCAGTTTTTTTCTCCATACATGTAATAAGCATGCAATCAAACATACAAAAAAACCTTTTAAAATATTCCTATTACCTTGCTTAGCTTTATATCCCAGCCTGCGGGCTTTGTCTGGTCTGGTTGGACGAGGAGCTCGATGAAGTGCCGATAACTGACGATATTGCCAGCAACGGACACGCAGAAGGAAACGCATCACATCAGATTGCTTCTTTCTCCATAGTTCTTGGATATACTTGTAGGCACCCATTATGACTTACCTAGTAAAGAAAATGCAGAATTATGTTACATCATTTTTCTTTTAATAACAGGTATATAAAAGGGATTCTTTTAAAAGGCTCTCCAGTATATGAAAATAAACTCCCTAAAACTGACAATAAGTAAATCCATTAAAATATGCCATTATTCAGGCTTCTTTTTTTCTGCTAATGTGCCAGTAAGAAGGCACATACTCATAAAAGCAATTTTAACTTCAGTCTCACACGTTTCACAAAGGGCATGTCATAACTTTTGCTTCCTTCAATCAGCTTCTGAAACCAGATGACCATGATACAATTATTGCTTACTATATATACACCATACACCCCAAAATATGCGTGAATATATGTGCTTCATATTCAGAAGTATGTTTTTATCAATTTTAGGTAGTATTTTTTCCTTAAATTTTACAGGTTTTAACTTTAGTCAAAAATATAGGTTGTTCCTTTGTACCAATCCAATGAAATTGGATAATCTATTCTGACAGCAACTACCTTGCAAACAGATATTTTACATCATTTACTATTTAAAAAAGCCTTAAAACAAGCTTGCCAATTTGGGAGTGATTCTTTATTTTCTATTTCAATTCTATTTTTTATTCTGACTGACTCTCACAGCAGTCCCCCTCCTTTTGATTATCAATTGGATCTGAATAGAAAATCGGACTGAAACTGAGGTTCCCGCAGGAGAGCCTAGTGGTTAAGGCACCAGGCTAGAAAGCATGAAACTTTCAGCTCAAATCCCACCTTTGCTATTAAAGTCAGTTGGGTGATTTTGGCCCAATCACTCTCTATTAATTAGCCCAAACCACTTCACAGGGTTGTTGTGGACACAATAAGAGGAAGACGTGTATTTGTGTGATAAATAAATAAATGAATCTGCTCTACTTCCTTAGAGCTCCTTCCCCCAAGAGGTTTGCACTGAGGAAAGACAGCATGAGTGCCATCGTTCGATTTTCACCATAATTCTGAGCCGTAAAAAAAGATCTGATGCCAAAAGGAACCCAGAATTTCAACGATTCTTTTCGTTTCCATTCTCATCCTTCCAGCTTTTTTTCACCCGGCCATTTCGCCCGGTAATATAAGGCCCAAGACGCCATTAGGCGAAACAAGATCCTAAACCCTTCTTTTTGTTCCACAGCTGCCAAAACATAATCATCCTCTCTCCCCGAGCCTCGATCCATAAGAATCTGCACCAAACGAGTGCAAAAAGCCTCCAGACTGCAGGATGACAATGGATACATCGTCCGCAGAAAGAACCCAAGAAACCTTACCATACGCACTCGAAGCCGGAAAGAAAGAGGCCTCTCTCCCAAAATGCTTTGCAACAGAGGAGGGCAGGAAAGACTCGGTGGTCAGGTGCTTGCTGGGAAATGTAGTTCATAGGGAACACATGTTATAAGAGCGTGGACTTTCATGTTACGAGATGGAATTTCTTCCTGTGACTTTTGGCTAGCGGCTCTGCAAGTTATGTTCATTTAAAACCGTCTAGGCAAGCAAATTATCCTAGAAAATATTCTCCTTAACCACATTTTGGGATTGTTTCATTATTACTAATGATAGAATGCTTTAGAGATACGCTTTACCTTGATTATTTATTTCGTACGATCTATGAAATGGGAAGGTCATGGCTGAGTTCTTATTTTAAATTAATTTTCAATTTTACTCCAGAATTCGAAGCTGGTTGTGTTAAAGAAATTCGAATATAGAATAATTCTTTCATATTTAAAATTGCTTTATTTGTTGTTCTTTTAGAAAAAAATATTTCAGTTTCATTAACTTGATGCAAATGAACTTACTTTTGAAAATAAAAATAAAAAAGTTCTAGAAGCCTTTTGCTCAACACTCCAGAAATATGAATACATCTTAAGTTCTTAGGAGTGTTGTCCTGTAATTTTAAAAGTGATTGCCACTCACTTCAGTTATATACTGTAGCAATAGCATACTTTTATCTTTAAACAATCTATGAAATGACAAAAACAATTACCATTCTGGGTGGCCTATAGGTTTTGGATTTCTACCGGTAGTAGTCTGAAAGAAAATGGGAAAAGGCTTCAAAGTGTTGGTTTGTGGAATGTGTTCAGTGGGAAAGACGGCCATCTTGGAACAAGTTCTGTACGGTAATCACACTATTGGTAAGAAAGATGCCTAATTGTTTTTTATAGTTGTGTAAGTAATGTTATAACTGCCACTTTAGTAGTTAATAAATTCTGCCAGATTGGAATAGATGTAAAATGATCCATATAACATATTTGCATTGGTCAATATAGGTTAATTACTTTTTTTCACAAAAGGCAAACTAAGTTCTCAAGAACAATTAGATATCCCTTATATGCATTTTCCTGAACCAAGCTGGCTTGTGGAAAACATAAATGAATTTTATGTTATGTCCCCCAAGAAATCGTTGCTCTTTATTTTAAATAAAAACAGGTGAAGAGTGCAGCAGAACTATGGAAGATGTATATGTCGCTATGGCTGAAACAGATCGAGGACTAAAAGAACAATTACGCCTGTATGACACCCAAGGACTGCAAGGAGACGAAGATTTCCCCAAACATTATTATTCTATGGCAGATGGCTTTGTTCTAGTGTATGCTGTAAATAGTCTGGAATCTTTTGAGAAAGTTAATTGGCTCAAAAAGGAGATTGACAAGTTCAGAGAAAAGAAAGAGGTAAATGACTATTTTTCAAGGCTGCTTATTAGTTATCATACAATTTTGAATGGGTCGGGGATTATGGGTTGAAGGTGAAAAAAAGGGAAGGAACTCCACTTCGATAACCTCACTATAAAGAATTGCTTGGCCCGGATAACATACAGTATTGTCAGTAGTTTCTTCCTTACTCAACAAGTTTTTTTCTTTTATCTTCTTTCTGACCCTTCTGCCTCTTAATCTCTTTAGAAGAGTCTCCCTTGGAAGAAAAGGATTGCATATTCATGGTACTATTATTGGAAATGGATATGAGATCAAGTCCTACCGCTTGTCATAAGAGGCAATTTGATTTAGACAAAATCCAGGTCATAATTTGGTGTATTTTTATATGAGACTTTAAGGTGAAAGTGCCCTAAATGTTAGATACTAGGATTCTCTATCTTGCCTCACTGGCCCGAAGGCCTTGAGTATGATACCCCTGTCATAGTGGGATTAAATGTTTTGGACAAAATACAGGCAGAAAAACTTAATATGGGGCAATCTAAAACAAGATTTCAGGTGGCATTAGTTTCAAACAAAATATTTGTGGAATACTTTGGTCTTGCTGATATGATGAACCGAATGTAGCATTACAATAGTAAAGGTAAAATTCCCCCACACGTGTGCTAGTCGTTTCCGGCTCTAGGGAGTGGTGCTCATCTCTGTTTCTAAGCTGAAGAGCCAGTGCTGTCCCAAGATGTCTCCATGGTCATGTGGCTGGCATGACTTAATGCTGAGGGCACACAGAGCACTGTTACCTTCCCACCAAAGTGCTCCCTATTTTTCTACTTGAATTTTTTATGTGCTTTTGAACTGTTAGGTTGGCAGAAGCTGGGACAAATAATGGAGCTCACTCCATTACACGTCACTAGGGATTCGAATCACTGAACTTCTGACCTTCTGATCAACAAGCTCAGGATCTTAATCACTGAGCCACTGTGTCCCCATTACAGTAGTAAGTTATTTTAAAAGTATACAGTAGTCCTCAACTTACAACCATTTGTTGTTTTTTGTAAATTTTATTTGAGTTTTCACAAAGAGAAAAAAAATACAAATAAAACATCTTTTTTGAAAGCAGCGTAATCCCGGGGTACATTTCTTCGTACAGACACAAATTCAGGTTCATGCTCATTTTTATATTCTATTCCATATCTTATTACTATTTTACATTTTTTGCATAGCTTCTCCCCTCTTTTAATTTTCTCAATTTTATTTTAATTATCTCATCTCAATTCAAATCATTGTATTTATATTTTTTGTCTGTCCTGTTTCAATTATCTATTATCTTTTCTCATTAAACAAAATTTCTCCTGTAGTTACTGATTGGAGTATGACGCCTTTATATTTTTTCCCTAAAGTTGTAACATTCAATATAATACATAACTTCCATTCGGATTCTGCTTGGTACATTCTTAAAATACTGTATTCTTAAAAAAAGAAAAAAATTATAAATGTATATAATTAAAACAACATTCCATTCCAAGTCAATTCTATCATTAATATTAATATCCATTAAAGTCTTAACATCTTTAACATTACTTTTCAATTAAATATCATACTTCTATGGGAACAATTATAAGCTTTCCATAGTTAATTCCCCCCCTCTTCTCTTATATTTTATAAAACATTAACTAATTAAAATGTTCCCGTTCCTTCCTAATTCAATTTTCTCATTTATTTTATTTAACTTATTTTATTCACAAACATTTCACTAAATTACACTAAGTATCCCTCATTTTAAGCATACGTTGTTTCCAATTTTTTAAAGTTATTTCTATTACTAATATAACAATACAATCTTATGTACCTTTACAGAATCCCTATATCAGTTAGATTTTCACCCATTATCTCTAAATAGCTCCTGTTTCTCTATATCTTGCTCCGGTCCTTTGTAACTTCCTTTCCTTCTTCCCTCTATTCTCTCTCCCCTTTTTACCCCCTTGTCTCTCTACCTCTATTTCTCTCTTCTGTATTCCCCTTTTCTGTTGCTTTCCAGTATTATACTTATTTTTCGAATTATTTTTCTTTTCTTTGGTTGTTTTTTTAAGTCTTAAATTCTCCATTCTCTTTCCCCCCTTTCCTTTTTCTTCCCCAAATAAAATTACTTGTTCATTGAAGATGGCTTCTTCTTTGTCCCAGTCTTCTTGCTTTGCAGTCTTTTCTTGTTGTTTCTCACAGTTCCAAATCTCCATTTCTAAGAATTGAAAAACGAAGCCAAAAGAACCCTTCCCTTCTTGTGCATCTTCTTTGTACTTTTTAAGTTCCATTTTCGATTCATCCAGAAGTGGTGCCATTGTATAAATTCTTAAACAACCACCCGATTGATTTTAGTCATTCAAATATAATAACCAAAAATCCAAAGATCACCGAATAATCCAAATACACGCAAGCTGTTTCTTTTTTGCTCTTTTTTTTCACTTTCTCTTCCTGGGGTTACTATTTAGTTGCAAAGTTTCAGTTAAAATGTATCTTTTAGAAGTCTTGTTGAAGTTTTACTTTAGATTCTTTTTAATTCCAGGCAGTCTCCTCCCTCTTCCAGATCCTGCCCTTATTCTTTTTCTCTCCCTTCCTGCTTATGAAAAAGAAAGTTTTTAATGTCCAGAAATCTTTATTATCCCTTTGGCATTTTGTTTTATTTTCAGCGTAATTGCCTATTGATGTCAAAGCGGATTTTTCCGATTTCTTATTTAAGTCTCTTAATTGTCAGTATAGGGAAGGAGAGAGAGAGAGAGAGAAAAAAAGCCAAACTTTTTCACTTTCCTTCGCTGCTTCCGACTCTTCTTTGTGAGCGATGTTATTTTTTGTAAATTTAAATTCCAGGGTACCTTGGTTGTTGCTTTTACAATTTAACCCGATCAGCCAAAACTTTCACTTCTTATCTTCCTCCTGCACATTCTTTTCCGGTTGAGTTCTTCTTTGTGGTGGCCATTTCAGACCACCGCTGCAACTGCCTTCGGGAAAGGGAGTAATGGCCAGCTGAGGAGGAGAGATGCGGCTCTCCTCGACCCAGCTGGCGGTCTTCCCCCTCTTCACCTCTACGGGATGGCTTAGTCCCGAAACCAGCCGGCTCGGGGCGCTCCAGCGGTGAGCACGGATCGAAGCCTTGCAGAGACGAGGTTTCGGTCTGTCGCCGAAGAAGCTCAAACCGGAAGTCCAACTTACAACCATTTTTTAGTGACTGTTCAAAGTTACAATTACACTGAAAAAAGTGCTTATGACAGTTTTTCACACTTATGACCATTGCAACATTCCCACGATGATGTGACCAAAATGTAGTTACTTGGCAACTGGATACTATTTTTAATGGTCTCAGTGTGTCAGGGTCACGTGACCTCACAAGCAAAGTTATTGGGAAAACCAAATTCAATTAGCTATGTGATTAAACAATTCACTTAACTGTGGCAAGAAAGGTAATAAAATGGGGCAAAATTCAGTCAACAAATGTCTTACTTAGCAACAGAAATTTTGGGCTCAATTTTGGTATTAGTCAAGGATTACCTATATGGTTTTAATTCTTTCTTGGGAACCTTCTGTTAAGAAGGCAGTAGATTTTCAATGTTCTGTAATTGGGATCTGCTAATTTATGTTTTTGTTTAACATCAGATCTATAGTTGTGGCTTGAAAGCTAGTTAGCATATTGTGTAACTTGTAGGATCCACTTCTGTCAGGAAAGGTAAAGACTATCTAGTCTTATTACCCTTTTATTCGCTAATCCTAAATAAGAAACAAGTAGCTGCTGCTGTTGTTTTTTCTTCTCATTCAATCTGTTCCAAGAGTCTGATACTCTCCAAGTATTTTAAATTATAATTTCCCTTGGCACTTGTTATCACCTAAGATGACTGAGACAAAAGATTGAGACAATCAATATCTGGTTGTTACTATGCTGCCTGTTACAGTTCCATGCCTGCTATGGTGGTAATTGAATAAGTCAATTTAAATGAACTGAATTATATCAGATTCAAACTGAGATAATGAACTACATCTTCTGTGTTAAAATTATGTAATTGGATCATTTCTTTATGCTGTGCTGGTTTCTTTGTTTAAGACAAGTTAAAGCAGGGAAAGCATTTAGTTTTGTAACTCCATGATCTAAAATAATACAGCACATGTGACATTTGGAGAATGTTTTCCTTGCTCTTTTATGTTGGCTATGCAGACCTCTACCACTGCGTACACAACCACCTTGAAATCTGTTTGGTGGGAATATATGGTCCTATTCAATTAAAAAACAATTCAATAAATAGGAATAGTATAATTTGTGAATTGGGGTGAAGATAAGAAAAGGAAAAAGAGATGGGGGGGCTCTTAATTTCTCTAGAGTTAATTGTTTCAGGTTAGCTGAAACATTGAATATACATTGTTTCCCCGAAAATAAGACCCAGTCCTTTTTTTTTTCACCAAGTTTTTTTAAAGTCTTCTACTTCCACTGACTCGCATCATGGCAGTGGCACTGACAGTTCCACCCAGTAGGAATCTGCTGCTGGCCCATTTCTTCTGTGGCCACTTATCGCCACTTGCCCGTGTCACCCCTCTGCCTCTGTTTACTATAGGTTAACTTATCCTGGCACCTATATGCAAGGGGAGCCTTTACCTTTTTATATATATATAAACTTTACAGAAGTCAGCCAAGGAGCTAAAGGATTATTTATTCGGCTCATGAATCTATTTGAATTTTGCATGATCTACTAGGAATGATAGCAGCTAAATTGCAGGGAAGAGTGCATTCCAGTCTCTTTTCCCTTTGCAATAATTCTATATTTGGAAATGTGTTTACATCACTGAGCTTATTTCCTGTTTTGATTGTTTTATTCCTTCTTTGCAGTGGCCAATTATTGTTTTAGGTAATAAAACTGACCTTTTGGAGGAAAGACAAGTACAGAGTGAAATTGCACAGCAGTGGGCTAGGATTGAGATGGTGAAGTTATGGGAAGTGACAGTAGCGGATCGAAGGACAATGATGGAACCTTTTGTGGTATTAGCAAGCAAACTTTACCAATCACAGAACAAGTTGACATTTTCTTTCTCCCGTCGGAGACCCAAATGCAATAAGGAAGACTACTGAATGCCCTTATGCTTCCCACTGGGCCAAGAATCTGCTGTGGCTTTTGCATTTCCAGAGTTGTTCATTTCTAGAACAACTAAAGCAGTTCTCACAGATCACAATGAGAATGGCATCTGAAATCATTTCATAAAAACACTGACATGATCATAGTTGTCTGTCTTCAATAATATGTTCATGGAATGCAAACTGGAGAATGTTTGAGTTCAGAAAAAAAGACTTTTTCTAAAGGGGGCATTTTAGAATCATTGGAAATACTGCCACCTCATTTAGCATTTCAGAAAAGAAATGAAAGAATAAGGTAAAAAGTTGTTTATTTTGATCATACATTGTATAGCTTTATTCATTGTGCTACAAAAAATTACTTATGAAAAAGAGAAGCCAACAGAATTGGGTGCAGTTGACCTTCACTACCTTTATTAAAAATTGTTCTAATACCATTAGCACTGATGCTTTTGGATGAACCACTGTTATTTCTATTGATTATCATCAAGCACCCTTCCCCAATTTCAAAAGTCCACTAATATCTGTCCCTGTGCAGAGACAGCAACCTCCTGAAATAGAGAGGACAGCATCAGAAAAAAAATAGTAACTTGGTTCATTTAAAAGGCTGTAGCAATGCTTCTCAATCTCAGCAACTATAAGAAGTGTGTGTTTGTAATTCCTAGAATTTCCCAGTATACGTAAGTCTTAAAAGTAACTATTAAAAAATACAGGACTATGTTAGAGTGTTTGATTCTGGCTTAGCACATTGTTTGACATTTATTCCATAAACTATGATTTATGGCTTAACATATTGACTGAAATCAGCCAGTCTGTACAGGAAAAAAATGAGTAATACTAGGGGAAAGGATTCTTCCATCTGTTTTAGGTCTAAGCAACCTATCTTTTACTTCAATTGTATTTATCGTTGCCATACAATTAAAGTGCCTTAAAATATGTTAACATAAAAATGAATACAGGATTTAAAACCTAGGAAAGTGGAAAAATCTTTTTACAAAAATAACATAGGTACAAGTTGAGCTTTCCTAGAAAAAGGAATGGTAGCATACCTACATATACTTTTCCTCATCTATGTTCTACATTACATAAAGATGATTTGAGGAATTAATGGGAAACCTAGATCAATTTTTTTCCAGAATTCCTAATTGATGTGGCTAATGCCCCCTGCTGGACATTTTAAGAACTGTAGTCCCCAACAAATCAAGATAGTGCTAGATTGGAGAATTCAAAAATGCTAGCTATCCTAGGGTTGTTACAGTGGCTTATACCATCACAACGTAACATAAGTTCTCACCTACTTCTAAATGGAATCTGTGGTTAGATTTGTATTTTCATAATTTTCATTACAATTCTGAATGATGCAAAAATCAGTTGGAAAGTAAGTAGGGTTAAAATTTCTCAAACAGTTGCAGTAGAGAAATTGATCCAAGTTTCTTTTCTTTCCATCCAGGAATAAAATACTTTAAGACCTAATGTGATATATTTTAAGCACATTTTTAAATTTAAATGCAGCTTCTGAGAATGTAACAAAAATAGAATGGGTGACATATCTAGGTGTTAAATTACAGATTGAAATACAGATTCTGAGTCCATTTTATTTATATTGCACATTTAAAGGGCTGTCATCTGTTTATATGTTGTATTCATAAGCTGTCCTTCATGCATTTTACAGAATGACAGTATTTTATAGCATAACAAGCACAGTTAACATGAATTTTATATAATTATTCATTCTGGGTCATTAGTGAATTGTTGTGTTTCAATTACTATTAATTGAAAGCCAAATTGAATTATGTTCATATTTTGAGCGCTATTAAAAGAGAAAAGGAACTTTTTAAATAGAGATATTAAATATGTTAGCATTTATTTAGTATAAATAGATGCCCCAAAAAAGGGAAAAACTATTCCTACCTTCCTTCCAAATATGTCAAGCAGCAATAGCCTGAAACCACAAATAAATTGCTCTAATGTTAAACTGCTAGGGAAATTCCAGGTTTAAGTACTAAGGAGATGATCCGAACTTTTGATAAAAGTCACCTGCCAAAAAAATCAATAGATTGTTGGATAGGTATGTAAATATGCCTTCTGGCTTAGGATTTAATTTCATAATGCATTAAAGTATAATGTAACTTTTTGTTCTGTGACCTGGAAAGTATTTTTTTTTATGATTCTTTTATCAGGAATAGATTATATTGCCTATTATACTAGAGGTCCCCAATCCCCAGATCCCCAGACCAGTACCAAACCATGGCCTGTTGGGAACCAAGCCACACAAGCAATGGGAGAGTGAGTGAAACTTCTTTTGTGCATACATGGGATCTAAGGTCCTACCCCTGCCATCCATGGAAGACAATTGTCTTCCAAAACCAGTGCTTAGAGCCAAAAAAGTTGGAGACCACTGTGTTACACACAGCTAACATAGATATATTCCAAAAAGAAGAAATATCTGTAGGGGGTTTGTACATATTTTTATTAGCACAGTAACAAATGCAGACTTAGATAGCCTACAACATACAACCAATCCACTGAGTGACTCCTATTCCACGCCTTACAATTAAACAGCTTAAGGTATTTCACTACAGGTTCTCCAAGTTCAGTTAAAATCTTCATTCTCACAAAGGTAATTTGGCATAGAAAAATGAATCCGTGAACCCCTATGCTAGGGAAGACAACAATCTAGCCTTACCTCTATATTTGAAGTTAATGAAAGGATAGTCTTGTAAAAAGATGTGTTAAATATGAAACTCTCCCACCTCCCCTAGGGAAAAATATTCCCAATATTTTTTTTTTACAAATAAAACCAAGTTAAAAGAAAATCAAGTTGCAAGCCTTCTTACAAGAAATTTTAGAGAAATGCCAAATATATGTACTTATAAATTAAGCTGTTTTATTTTTTTATCACAACCAAACATCCTTTCCAAACCTCATCCAATTATCAGCTTAGTTTACATTCTTCTTGGTGCTATAGCAGAGCTACTATTGCTTTAAGACTAATGACAGTCTTAAAATATACTATTCCCATTCTAACTGTCTACTGTAGCAAGATACCTTAAGTAACAACAACAAAATCTCAGGAAATAAAAGACTGAATAAATTCTGTTATAGAAATACCCTACTCTTTTTCAGTTTCTCCCCTTCCCTGTCCCACCCCTTCAAAATCATAAGCAGCTCTTTCCATCACAGATGATTTAACAGAAAGGTTTGATAAAAATCCAGTTTATGTCGCGTATCTCTTGGTCCACTGTCTGGCCATTCTGTCATGCTCTGCTCTGTTAGTCATATACTGAGTTGCAATACTTCCAACAAGGGGATCAGCTGCAAAACAAAACAAATTCCAGCTAGTTATTGATGCTAGAGGAAGAGAAAATATATGTAATAGATCAGATTTGATAAGGACTCTTGGAACATTGCTTTAATAAAAAATACTTGTGTAGCTTTACAGTTTTAGAATTTAAGTACATTTTCCATTCAGGCCAAGAATGGGAAGGAGAAGTTATGATCCTCCAGATGTTGGTAAAGTTGAAGTCCCAACCTTTATTCTTTTCCACTAGACTTCACAGTGCTTTTTCAACGATAGTCATGCCTGCTGAAACGGTTGACAATCATAGTTAACAGCACTGCATTTTGATTAGGGCTATGCACATCAAAAATCTATAATAATGGGTCTTGCTGGACAATTGGTGTTTCCATAGATACTGTACATTTCTATCAATCCTTTAAAATATGTTTCACAAAGCAAATCCACCTGGAGATAATGACGTTCACAGCAATCAAAGGCAATCAGTCACTAAACACCATCAATGGGGATATTCTATTTATTAATTTTGTGGAATGATAGATTCACTTTTCCATCACTGGATTTTGAAAAAAAAAAATCATTTTGTAGTTTTTTAAAATTAGTTTTTGCAAATTATGTCAATGCAATATACATGGCATTCTAACCAATAAAAATTATGTTGAGTTTTTTTTAATTTGCTGTTCTTTAAGAGTACATTTAGGGACCACTCAAGTTATGACATAGATGAATAAGGGGACTTATGATAGTTACAGCATTCTTGTCATGTGGTCATGGTTTAGGTGCTTGGTAGCCAACTTGCAATTGTGACAGTCACAGCATCCTAAGCCACATTATTGCCTTTGCGATGTTCATGGCTAGCTTCTGACAAGCAAAATCAATGGGGAAGTTGGCAGAAAGTTGCAAATGGCAATGATTGCATACTGCAATTGTGTGTGATTCCCCTAACAATGGCAACAGACTGCCGCAACTGCCATAAGTTGGCATGATCATACTTTGCCAGTTCAAATTACTCATTAAGTGAGAACTGCTTGCATAGCTTTTGGACACATTTGATTGGATTTTCCTTGTGTATTGTGTTTTGGAGATGGCTCTTAGCAAGAAGCAGTTAGAACAGTGCAGGAAATCTTGTGGGTTAACAGAATAGGGAACAGGGAAAAGGCTGGCCAGCCAGTGAATGAGTTTTGCAGTAATGATAGAGACCAATGGAGAGCAACTATAATGCAGAAATGTATGTGCTAATATTTCTGTTACATCGTTTCTAGTTAAGACAATATTTCCAGTTTTATGCAAAAAAAATATGAGTTGCATGGTGCTAGAAAAGGTCTGTTGCCCCCTACTGCTCAATGCATTCTTAAATACCCACAAAGAATGTAATGCTAGAGGGGAGCCACTCTTCTTGCAGAAGATGTTCCTGTATTATCAGAAATCAATATGGAAACTCCCCATGGCTTTACTGTAACTAACCCTCTTTGATATATGGATAAATAGGAAATGGAGCCAACATACAATCTCTGGGATAGATCCTATTCTTTGTCCCCCATCCCTCATTTTGACCCACCTTACCAGGATTGCAATCTGTGAGAAGTGAGCAAATTGAAAGAAGAACTTTAGAAATAGTTAATGCTGGACTCCAGTTGTCCTTTAATATGTCCAGACAGATCACTCCTTGACTATTAATGTTGCAGTGATAGATTCTTGTTCGAAAGGTAACCTACATGAGAAGAGTTCAAAAATAAAATAAAATAAAATAACGAAATTGTGTTTATCCTCATCTTTTCAGATAGGCCCCAAGCATTTCCTACAATGGATATTAAAATGCTGAATTTCCTACAATGCTTTTCCAACAATGGATATAAAATGCTGGATTTGTCCAAGCCCATATATAGACAATTTCCAATTTTGATAAATTACTAATCTAGCATCAGACAAATTTTTGTTATTTCTCATTCTGCGAAAGATTTTCACAAATAACTTTTCTCTTTTAATTCCAAAAGACAAGGCCCCACATATTAATTTCATCAATTGAAAGCTTTTCTATGGTTTACAATAAGTCAAAAAATCCTCAGATGTTAAATTAGTCAATATCATTAAAATTCAATTTTGCTGCATCTGATTTTCACTGGAAAGGGATTAACATTAACAACTATTTTTACTACATTAATTTAATAAATGTTTTTGGATTTCATACAAATTATGCAAAATCTCACTTTCTAGTGGTCAGGTTATCTTTGTATCTCCCAGGGCAGAGGTGGTATTCAGCAGGTTCTGACCAGTTCTGGAGAACCGGTAGTGGAAATTTTGAGTACTTCGGAGAACTAGTGGTAACCTTCCCCCTGGAGTGAAATGGAGATTTTATAGTATTCTTCCAGTCACGCCACCAAACCATGCCCACAGAACCGGTAGTAAATTTTTTTTTAATCCCACCACTGTCCCAGGGGTCAACTTCTGAATGAGGAAGCCAAACTTTTGCCCCACTTTTATACTTTTGGGGATTATCTAGATTAAAAGGTGAAATGCTAGTCTTAAATCTCTCAGTGGATTAAAACATCCACTTCAGTTCTTATAATAATTTAAAAAATGGATCCAGCATTGCCTACTTTTGCAGTGTAGTGCCCGATGTGTTGAACAATAGCTAATGTTGCCCTTGAGTTGACAGAAGATATGTGTATCTGCCAGAGATAATGAAGACATTCTCATGCATTTATCTTATATTTGATCATATTCCTCAATTGAGACTAATTTAACTTATACAAACTTTACTTTGGCTATTTCTTATTTTCCCAGTTCATGAATCTGAATGTTACAGCAAATATTGTAATTATGTTTTAGACTTTAATTTCATAATTTCTAAATTTTATTCTAAAAAACTAGTCATTATCCAAGGGGGGAAACCCCCCCACAAACTTGGGCATTTTAATTTATGGTGAACCACTGCCATCCTGTGTCTATTGTTTGCATTACATGAGAATTACACAGCCTTAAAGGGTGACAAAATTTATTGCAGCATTAAAGAATTGCTAATTTTTTTCACAACTTAAGCAGGATACTTAGGCAACAATAAAGATAGTACTCTATTAAGGCAGAAATTAGTAACTTTTTCTACAAGTACTGATTAAGAGAACACTTCTTGTTGACTTTCTGATGCACAGTGTTTAGATTTGCCATCAATTTAATGCATTCTTCCTCTAGGGACCAATTGTCAAACCACTTTAGCCCAAATATTCTACAGGATGCATAGATATCAGTTCTTATTGAAAATGTTGCACTGATTTTAATGTATTCAGCATATATATGTAATGGTAAGGGGTGGGAATGAAAAACGAGCAAAGAAGGTAGGAAAAGATATGCAGGATGAAAGAATATGCTTTTTAAATTGTATGCGTGCTTGTTTGTGATCAGTGGACAACTAAAGAAATTCAACAAACTCTTTACATTCATTAACACCACTGTGAAAAAATCTTAAGGATTTGGAATGCAATTAAAATATGCCACTATCAGCTTTCCTTGAAAAGAAAGGGCAGGTCAATTATTTGTTTCTTTGTTTTATTGTCACCAATTCACTTTTGATTTGTGACTCTGGGCAGGATACAACATTAAAAATCCAATTTAAAATTCACAATGAAACCCCCTCCTCTTCCCAATTCTGTGGTGATAACAACAGAATCAGACAATCCACTTGATTGGTGCCAAATGGAGTCCCCAAGCCCACAAACAAAACTGTCTTGCTAGGCCTTGCAGAAAATAAGGTGGGGGTCAATCACAGAGAAGGCCTCTTTCCAACGTCCGATCAGATGTACTTCCTTGATAGCTGGAACCCACAACATGCCCTGTTGCAGCCCATCAAATATCCTGGACACAAGCTTTAAAAGTGATAGCCAGCACCTTGAATTACATCCAGAAGCAGTTCCTGAAAATGTGACATGCAAATTTGGACTTGCAAAAAACCATGCAGGCTGCTGTATTTTTAGTTAACTATAGCTTCCAATGCTCCTTAAGGGCAGCCCCTTGTAGAATGTAATACAATAATTCAAATGGGAGATGAACAGGGCATGGAAGATTGTGGGAAAGGCCTATTGGTCCAGGAATGGCGCACAATACGTGCAAAAGCCCTTCTGGTCATGACTGCTACCTGCTTCTTGAGCAAGAGTTGTGTGTCCAGGAGAAACTCTGGATTACGCATCAGATCTGTCTGGGGGAGTGCAATCCCATCAACAACCAAAGATAGTAATTCTTCAAGAATAAAGAGGCTCCAAATCCAAAAGCACTCTGCCTTGTCAGGGTTCAGTTTTAATCTTGTTTCCCATCCAAACCTTCAGCCTTATTGCAGTGAGAAAGGGCAACTGCAGCATGACCATGGACAGAAATGTATAATTCAATATCATCAGTATATTAATGATTCAGATCCCACTGTGATGGATGTCTCATCCAACAGTTGCATGTTGTAGATGTTAAACAGGAGTAGAGAAAGCACCAACTCTTGAGGGACTCACAATGCGGGAGACTAGTGTTTGATCTCTCTTTCTCCTCATCAACATTGATTGGAGGCAAACCAGGACAACACTATGACTCTCCACTGCCAGTCTAAGCAGTTCCAGAAAGACACAATCCATGACTGATGTTATCAAAAGCTGCTGAGAAATCAAGTGGAGCAAGGATGGATTCACTACCCAGGTTTCCATGTTGTTGAAAAACATGCTATTGATGAACTCTAAATTATATTTTTGGGATGATATGATAAGGATTCTCTGCTGAGATTGCATTTTGGTAATTTGAAAATAGTTTGGAAGAAATTTATAAACAAGACAATTTTACTCTATATAAGTTGTAACTAAAACTGGCAATAAACTGTCAGTATCTAACACTAAATACTAGCAATTGTTGAACATGCAAAACAAACACATTTCTTTTACTGATGATTGTTCTAAACATGATTGTTATACTTTGAAGGGAACACAGGCAAACATTTAAGAAATAGAGGCAGAACACAAATGACAATTTAATTTGATAAGAGTAAAAAGGGTGATACATAGCATTCCAATACAATTCTCTAATTTGCATAATTGGAACTAGTAGAAAAACAGGATAGTATGCTATTGATTCAAATAATTTAAACAAAAATACAAAAGGAGAAAAAAAGTACTGATGCATTAAGAAAAAGGAAAACATTTTCTGTGATAACATTCTCCTTTTTTTCAGAATGCAATGTACTTATGTCTATGCTACTTAGTGATGAGTACAAAAATATTCGTGAATGACAGGAGGTAGACATTGGGCAAGAATGTTTATGACTTATTACACAATTCCTCAAACTTACCCATCCTCCTGTTTAAACACTTTATTAGCGTAACTTGTTATTCCCTACTGAGTTGAGGGTAGGGGTATGGTATCTATAGTTATCAGAGTCTACTAGAATATTTCTCTGAATTTCCAAATGTTGCATGTAGTTAGTACCATGTTTCCCTGAAAAAAAGACCCTGACTTATATTTTTTTGCCACTAAAAAAGGCACCAGGTGTTATTTGGGGGGGCATGTCATCCACTGACTAACCTCACTTTTGTGTGCATTGCCCCCTTTTCGCGGTCAGGGGCCTTCAGGAATTTCTTCTTCTGTGGCCGGCAAGACTTTCCTGAAGGCCTCTGCAGCCGATAACAGCTCCAGATCGATCCGGGGCTTGTTATCAGCTACGGAGGCCTTTAGGAAAGCCTTGTTGGCTGCAGAAGAAATGGGCTGGCAAGGCAGGTGTTGGGGTATGCAAGGCCTGGCTGCAACTGTCTGAAGGTAAGTAGTAGGGCTGCTCCACCACTTCCATCCCCACCATAGATTAATTTTTACCCCTGCATCCTGGAGTGGACAGGATCTTAAATAGGGCTTATTTGGGGGGTAAGGCTTATATTGGTAAAAATCAAGCTAGAACTTACTTTCAGGATAGGTCATATTTTCAGGGAAACAAGGTAGATTGTTATTCTCTTTGTGGTATTTGATAGTTTAGCTTGAAATAAAGGTATGTCCTCAATACTAAAAACAAATTTAGAAGAAATGTATATAATATTTTCCTCAGTTAATAATTTGTATAGCTCTTTGGTTTTTTAATGGTTAAAAATAGGTAAAGTCTAAAAAGATTTTCTTCATGAACTAGGAGAATTATGAGACAAAAGAATAACCTATATGGATCTCTTCTAAGCATTTTACAGCAATGTGGAGTATTATCGTGATTTCTAAACACTGTATTAGAAAGCTTTAATTTGCACAGTGCACAAATTTAAAATAATTAATCTGGTATCTTCTTAACATATCTATCTCCACACTTTCATGTTTATGACATTAACAGCTAAGCTGTTTGTTAGCATCTTATTTCAAGCAATTAGCCTCCTTGAATATTATGGAAAGATTAAAATATACTGAAAGCAATAACTTTAAGAATATTTTAAGTCTGATTTAGTAAAAACAATTATTCATTTTGAATAAATGATTGTATCCAGACTAATTCCTGAGAGTGAAGTCTGGGAAAAGAAAATGGGGAGATATAATTTGCTGGATTCTCTTCTTGAATTGTTTTCCACAGCTCTGTAATAAATGGCAATGGCCAGTGTAGTAGAAAACAGAATTGGAGAAAATTGATGTCCACTCCGCTTCTTTTGTGCAGGAAATAGTGCACATCTTGAGGCTCCAGGCTTCAAATACTGCAAAGATACTTAAGATCACATCACTAACATTAGAAAAAGCAACATAATTCTAAAAGAACATCCAAAAAGTCTTTCAATATTCAATAAAGCAAAAATAGACTGTATAGAACAAAACACATTCTGAACAGCATTTAAAAACAGATATTCACTCATCTGCTTATTGAAGAACTTAGGTAATAATGAATAATAGAACAGAAGATGGCACAAAATGGCACAACTAAATAGTTTACGGTTGGAATGGAGAGTACCATGGTTGTATACTGTCACTATATTTATTTAACTTATATGCAGAACATATTATGAACAATATTGGACTACAGGAAATTGGAATTAAAATAGCTGGAGAAGTATCAATAATCTCAGTTATGATGATAATATCAATCCAACAGCCAGAAATGAGGAATACTTAAAAGAATTTTGTTACAGTGAAGAGTACAAATGTCAATCTCATGCTTAATTTTAAAACAAAACAAAACCCAACTACTAATACTTGATTAAGTATTTCATTAACAGTAAACTGGCTCAATCTACAAAACTTCAGATACACATAGACAAACCAATTAAAAAATGAATATTTCTATATTTTTTCCTATGTTTTTAATTAGAAACAAAACTATGAAGTTGATATGCACCAAAATACTCTAATAACCAAAGGTGTGAAATAAAATCCTTTTGAGGGCCTTTCTGAAAAGTAAAAGCTTAGGGCCCAATGATAACAGACATTATCATCCCATACTTAAAAATGGTGACATTATAGGCATGATGACATTACAGGCATGATAAAATAAGGAAATGTATTTTTTTATAATTTTATTTTTAGAAGTGGAAAGAGATTCACATTCGAACTAGTTGGGCATTCCTATGTTATGAGTAATTAGTTTTTTTACTAATCATGCATGTCTTATAAATAAGAAATTGAGAAAGTATCTTTTAGGAACCTGGGAGGTGATTCTAAAAGTGGAATCAATTCATTGATATTATCCTGTTTTCTTAAAAAGATAAAAAGATAAGGTAAGAAGATTTAAGAAGAAACCTATTTTCTATGGAGATAGTGTGGTCAAGAATTTGATACTTGGAAGAAAACCCTTATAACATTATAGACAAAGTATCAAATTTCAGAATAATCATACTAACAACAGAAGTGTTTTAATTTTTTTATAGTTTTAGTAAAATACTAACAACTACAAGACCAGTATCATCAATAAAAAAATGAATACAATAAAAACCCTACATAAGTTACACAAACATAATGAAACGGAAGAAAAAAGAATTAATTAAAAATCCACATGTACTAGTATGAGATTGAGTTCTTAAGCTTCTCATTAAAACTAAATTGTATAGAAATATACTGCTTTATCTTTCAATTTTTAAAACCTAATGACTTGAAAAATAGATAACTAATACCTTTAATCCATTCCTTAATATCAGAATGATAATTTTCTTCCATTTACCTAAGAATGAAAGCTCTTAATAAAACTACAGATTCCATATTTTAGAAATATCATTTAATCTTACATTTATGTCTTTATTATATTTTCAAAATTGTGGTAACATTTGCTATGACTTTGAACCAAAACAGAATTGTGGATGAACAAAAACAAAGAGCCCTTCGATATTCTGCAGTACCAGCACAAGAAAATCTGATTTCTACTTTTTATAACATTCTTTCAGAGATCTAACAGTATCAAATAAGATTTTCTAATGTATCCAAATTAAATAGTTATTTTTTAAATCATAAGGAGTAAATTTTACATTTTTAAAAATACTTTTTTTTTAAATTGCCAAAATTGGATATTCTAGTTCTTCATTTTATGTAACTAATGCTAACTTTCTTAATATTCTTTATCTGAGTGGTTTCACTTAACTGCCACATCCCTTAGGGATACTAAAATTTCAGATACTGTACCATTGAGGTCTGTAAATTATCTTGGCCCTACAATTTTAGCCAAATTCCTAGTTTTTGTTTTCTGAAATTATTTCACTACATAAATGTATTTTCAATCACAATTAAGAAGGTACAACATTTACAAGTACATTGATTTTATAGTCCATAAAGCAACTTGTAAATCCACTGGGATTCTGATAAAGGACATGATTTAAATTATCAGAATAAATCTATAAATGAAATTAAATCTAATTGAATTAAAGAATATAAACATACTCCAGAATACTGCTTCTATTTTGGAAGAAAAATACCGAATAGTTCTTGTCTGCTTCAAATGGATCCTCATTTAACAAAACTTTAAATTTTAAAAATCTTCCAAGACTGGATAAATTAGTATACAAGATTGCATTGAATAAATATTAGGTCACAATGGCCAAAATAAAAATGATATTTCTATAAGAGGGGAATAGAAGAAAAACCAAGTATTTGGTACAAATTCAGTAGTCTTTCTAGCTCAGGAAAAGAATAACTTTTGTATTACCTGGTATTCTTAGATATCCACATTTTTCAAATATGTTAATGTTATGCTCTCCAAGAATTATCTTTTGCATGAACCTTTATTTTGTCTGATGTAATAGGTTTCAGTCTCAATCAGTGAACTACATCTACAGTGGAAATCTACTGACTGGAGCAAGGGAACATACTTGCAGAGAAGCAAGTTGGTTTTAGGGAAGGCCACTCTATGTTGGTCTACTCTGACAAATATAGATTTGATTAATCAAGTGATATAATAGATAAATGGTCATAATCAATGACAGATGTTCCATTTTCATACCTTCTAACATTTTCAACTTCCTGGGCATCTCGCACATCATTCTCCCACACAAAATAATCTGCCGCTTATTTAAATAAGATTCTAGTATCTCATTGTGAGACTCCTTTTTAGGAATATATGCTTAAATATCCTCCAAGATAGTGTCTAAAACATTTAGCAGCAGCATAATGACATAAATATAGTTGTGTCAAAACTGACTAGGCCCTAATACAGCAAGATGTCTATATCATTTTTCAAATCATTTTCTAAATAGAAGCTCATTAGACGATACATCAATTTCCGCAGGCCATTTTGGCTGGCAGAATGCTGCAGGAGACAGCGCCTTCTTCACCTTGTCTTTAGCAGCATCTGCCAACTAGAACTAGGTACCCGCCAAGATCTGGATCGCTGTTCAGAAGAGCCAAAAGCATCTGGCTCTTCACCTAAGTCTTTGATGAGAGAGAGTGAGCCCCCTCGTATCATTGAGTTTGTCATCTTTTATCTTAATTTTTTTACCTGTGATTGATTTAATTGTAAACCGTTTTATTGTTGTGAGCCACCCAGGGTCATTGAGAATTGGGTGGTATATCAATTTTGTAAATTACTACTAATATTAAGTTCTTCTCTAGGACTCTGTTAGAGGTAGTAACAATGTTTGATAGACTGTTGGATAGACAGTTTTTAGACACACCTGGATAAACTATCAATTTGTTTATGCTCTGCTTCTATACAAAAGAGTCAAGCCCCATAGCAGCTGGTGACTGTACATGCCTTTAATCACTACATTATGGAATTGAGACTATTTGTGCCAGAAAGTAAATCTCCCTTTGTCTGGAATAGTTTTGAATGCAAAGGGAAAAAATGCATCTTGAGCCTGTGTCAAATGGCCACCATGCTCATGCCAACCACACCCACCCCTGGCCAACACCCCACCACCACCTCCATTTCTCCGAGGTCAAATATAACCCTGATGCTGCCCTCAATGAAATTGACACCCCTGGTCTAGATTATTGGGTAGGATATTATTGTTGATTCTAGGTATTCTATTATGCTTTTATGTGATTTTTTAAAAATGCCTTGTAGATCCTAACAGATGAAAAGCCATATATAAAAGTTTTTTTTTAAATAAACCCATAGATGGTTGCAATCTGAAAGCCAACAAAATACATAATTTTGACAATATTTACAAAAATAATTTATGTGAAAACCACAAATATGCCTTTATTGGAAAAAAAACCCTACTGTAAATTGTTTTATATATCTATGATTTAAAGTATAGCAATGTTGAACTATCATAGGTACATTTATATTGATAACAACTGGCCACCCAATCTATTATATCCATTCAGAATGGATTTCCTGGCTATGATAGCTATTAAGCAAAGGGACAGTCTGTCTCCTGGATGCTCTACTGGAGGTTTTCAAGCAAAGATTGGACAGTCCTTTGCCCGGCATGTTATCAAGATTCCTGCTCTAGGCAGGAGATTGTACCAAAATATCTCCAAGATCCCCTCCAACTTATGATTCTATGATGATCTTAATGGCTATCCTTAATCTCTCTCTCTCTCTCTCTCTGTCTCTCTCTCCCTCCCTCCCTCCCTTCCCCTCTCCAGATAGACATTTCTGCAAATGCAACTCATTGCACAATCATTACAGTAAATGCTTCAATTATCCCTGTAGTATTTATCCAACAGTTAAAGAGCTATATTTGCAAAAAGGAAAAAATAAGGGGAATTAAATTATGCTGAATAGTATATAAAATGTTAATGCCTACAGTTATGCATTAAAAGCTAATGAGACCATGTGATGCATTTATTACCTTTGGAGGCTTGAAGGGATATTCTGGTGTAAATGTAATGTCAAGGAAGAAAACTCCACCCTCATATACTGAACCTGGAGGTCCTAAAATTGTTGATCTCCATTCATAGATATTATCACCTTTTGGGCCAGCACTATAAATTAAACAGGACAAAAATTGTCAGTGGTTAGCTTTAATAAGACTTAAATATTTATGAAAAATAATTCCTCTAAGCATATTAATTACAAAATTAACACTGTAAGACTAGCAACGTATATTGATTAGGTCTCCCAGAAAGCTGACATCTGTGGTGATGCTGAAGGGGAAAAAATAGTAATACTGGTCTTCTCAATGCAATTTAAAGCAAGGCAGAGAAAGAACAATTTAGGGTGAAGATTAAAATGGGTTTTTTTAAAAGTGCAGGGTAATAAGGAATCTTGCAACCATCTATTTTTGCTTGCTTTCTTGCTTATACAACTTGTCCAATAGTAAACCCCACAAAAATGTTATTCCAGAAATATTTTCTTGTCCTTTTATGCTATCTCCCTGTATATTTCTATCACATTTTTGGAATGTTTAGCTTTCACCTATAAAACATTTGTTTATAATGATCTTTCACTATATGACAGATTTCAATTAACAGAAACTTGCTCTGACCTCAAGAAGCAAATGAATGGTTACTGTGAATTTACTACAGTGTTGGATCTGCCTGGCACCTACTTCAGAAAAAAGGGGTGAGGGAAGATAAAAATGAAAAAAAAAAATTCTCCAGGCAGAGTTTATTTAACTAACAAACATATGCAGGAAACACACAACAGTAGTAATGGGAAACTTCAATTATCCTGGTATCAACTGGAAAACTAATTCTGCACCAAGTGAGAAATCAAATAAGTTCCTAACCAACCTAGCTGACAACTTTGTTGTCCAAAAGGTAGAGGGTAAAGCTAGAGGGACAGCCATACTGGATTTAATTCTTACAGAGAAGAAGTAATAGAGGGAGTTGAAACTGCAGGAACCAGAGTGACCATGTCATACTAGAATTCAACATAACACAAACACAAGCAACATAATGACACCAGAGTCTTGGATTTTAAAAGAGCTGATTTTAATAAACTCGGAGAGAACTTGGGAAAGATTCCATGGATGAAAATCCTAAAGGGGAAAACAACTCAAGAATCTTGGGAAACTCTGAAAAGTATGATCATAGAAGCCCAGACCAGCACAATACCACTGAGAAAGAAAAACAAGAAATCCAAGAAGAAACCAGCATGGCTGCACAAAGATCTCTTTGGCAAATTGAAATTAAAAAAGGACAAGTACAAAAAATGGAAAGAAGGACATACAAGTAAGGAAGAATATCAGCAGATAGCCAGAATCTGCAAAGATGAAGTCAGGATAGCAAAGGCTCAGAACAAACAAAGACTTGCAACAAAAGTTAAAGATAAAAAAAGTTTCTTCCAACATATAAATAACAAGAAAAAAATCAAGGAAACAGTTGGTCCACTATAGAGAGAAGACGGCAAGGAAGTAACAGGCAATAGAGAGAAAGCAGAACTGCTTAACTCATTCTTTGCATCAGTTTTCATGCAAAAAGAAACTATAGCTCAACCCACCAAAAACATAACTGTAAAAGACAGGCCAGAAATAAAAGTTAAAATAAGCAAAAAAAATAGTAAGAGAACATCTTTCTGATCTTGATGAACACAAATCACTGGGGCCTGATGAATTACATCCCAAAGTTTTAAAGGAGCTGGCAGAGGTCATCTCAGAACCACTGCACCATATCTTACAAAAATCCTGGATCACTGGGGAACCACCAGAAAAGAGCAAATGTGGTTCCCATCTTCAAAAAAGGGAAAAAAAACAGACCCAGGATACTATAGACCAATCAACATCAATACCTGGGAAGATACTGGAAAAGATAATAAAAAAACCAGATCTACCAACATCTAGAAACAAGTAAAGTAATAACTAGCAGTCAGCACAGGTTTGTTAAGAACAGATCATGCCAAACCAATCTTATTTCATTCAACAAAGTGACTAAATTAGTAGACCAGCAAAATACTGTGGACATAATATATTTAGATTTCAACAAGGCATTCAACAAAGTAGACCACAACCTACTTCTTAGTAAGTTAGAAAAAAGTGGAACTGATAGCACCACCATTAGATGAACTTGCAACTGGCTGATAAACCATACTCAACGAGTAGCCTTAATGGGTCTAAGTCTACATGGAGGGAAGTAAGCAGTGGGGTGCCACAAGGTTCTGTCTTAGGCCCAGTACTCTTCAATATCTTCATTAATGACTTAGATGAGGGAATAGAAGGGGAACTTACCAAATTTGCAGATGATACTAAGCTGGCAGGAATAGCTAATACCCAAGAAGATAGGCTCAAGATCCAGATGGATCTTGACAGACTAGAACACTGGGCCATATCTAACAAAATGTAATTCAATGTTGAGAAAAGTAAAGTCCTACACTTAGGCAAGAAAAACCAAAAATACACATATAGACTGGGTGAAACCAGGCTCAATAGCAGTACCTGTTAGAGGGATCTTGGAGTCTTAGTGGACAACCAGCTAAATATGAGCCAGCAGTGTGCAGCAGCAGCAAAAAACACTAATGCAATCCTAAATTGTATTAACAGAGGGATACAATCAAGATCAAGGGAAGTACTAATACCACTCTATAAAGCCTTAGTAAGACCACACCTAGAGTACTGCATCCAGTTTTGTTAAACACATTATAAAAAAGATGTTGAGACTCTAGAAAAAGTACAAAGAAGAGCAATCAGGATGATTAGGGGATTGGAGGCTAAAACATACAATGAACGGTTGCAGGACCTGGGCTTGGCTAGTCTGGTGAAGAGAAGGACCAGGGGAGACATGATAGCAGTCTTCCAATATTTGAGGGGCTGCCATAGAGAGGAAGGGGTCAAGCTGTTTTCTAAAGCACCTGTACGCCAGACAAGAAATAATGGATGGAAACTGAACAAGAAGAGATTTAACCTGGAAATGAGAAACTTTCTGACAATCAACCAATGGAACACCTTGTCCTCAGAAGTTGTGGGAGCGCCATCACTTGAGATTTTCAAGAAGAGATTGGACTGCCATTTGTCAGAAATGGTGTAAGGTCTCCCGCTTGGGCGGGGGGGTTGGACTAGATGACCTACAAGGTCCCTTCCAACTCTGGTTATCTGTTAAATATTTATAAAGTTTATATAGATGTCAGTGTAACTCTGGGCAGTGAACAAAATAAACATCACAAAATAAAGACTCATTCCATTAAAATAATAAAAAAGAAAAAACTGAGGACCATGTTCAGCATTAATCCCTTGCTCCTATATAAAGGTGGGTCCTATATATAAATTAGCATTTGGTAATGCATTTTCTGTTCTATTATATTCTAAACTTTATCAGTGAAAGTCAACAGTAATAGAACATGATATTTTCAAATGAATCATGAAACTGGAAATAATTACATTTATTTGTGAAACTACAAGAAAAAGACTCAATAGGGAAAAATACATCAATATTAATTATGGGGGAGAGGGGGAAGAAACATCTTCAAAATTGGAACATAGCATGGTACTGAGGACAATTTGCCTCAGTAACTTTGCTTGAACTATGTACACATCACATTGGAAACAGAAGCCTTCTTTACTAGTGTATTAAAATAAGATGCAAAATTACTACTTTAGATTTTAAGATACATAATTAGCAGAAATCTTTTCTCAGAACTAGGTTATAAAAGATGCAGTATGCATTTTCTCCCAGATGGGCACATAATTGCAACTAAAAGACAAAAGCCAATTAATATTAAAAATTATTTATAATTGCATTTCATGATGTAACAAGCTAACATAAAAAACTTCAACCAGACAGCAATTAAATCCAAAACTTATGTAGCAAAAAAGAAAAAGTAGTGGGAGTGGGAAAGAGAGAGGGTAACCATAGCAAATGTTATGAATAAAGTTGGGACAATATATTAGTTAATATACTTTTGCAGGAGAAAAATTTCCTGCAAAAGTATATTATCAAAATTTCAATGAAATTAACCTTGGAATACAGCAATTTAAGAAGTTTTTTACTCCTCATACTACTAATTATTCCAATCAGCAAATGGCTACATATTTACTTTTTAAATGCTTTACTCAGTGATGTTTTGGAAATATTATTGTAATATTATTTGATTGGGCGTTGGTCCTTACCTGATACGCCCTTTCTCGTCGAGCTGTGTAGAGCATCCAGAGTGGGAGGTGCTCCAGTCTTCGCTCTCACAGGCTGAGCTATAATTGAGGAACGCTCCTCCTCCTCCATGTGACTCCTCCATAGCGTTCCTCAGTTTTACGAAGACGAGAAGACAGAATTGCATCCCCTCATCTTAACGTTTGAACACTCTCAACTATAAACTGCTTGAATCATTGGCCGAAACAGGATTCCCCACCAGACGGACAATTTAGGGTGGGGCTGGATGCTCTACGCAGCTCGACGAGAAAGGGCGTATTAGGTAAGGACCAACACCCATTCTCCATAGAGCTGCTGCGAGCATCCAGAGTGGGACATACCAAAGCATGGCCTGTCCTACGGGAGGGACTCCGTCTGGGCCGGAATCTCCTCTGGGTCTCTAACCACTTGTTGAAGGACTCGCCTGCCAAAGGACACTTCTGCTGAAGCAAAGACATCAATTTTATAATGGTGAATAAAGGGTAACGGAGACGCCCATGTTGCTGCTCGGCAGATATCAATTATCGGAGCCTGGGTAGCCCAGGCTGCTGAGGTAGCCGCACTCCTTGTAGAATGTGCAGTAATTCCACTAGGAACAGGAAGCGCCTGTGTTAAATAGGCCTTGGAGATTGTAGCTCTGATCCAACGGCCTACGGTAGACGGGGATACTCTGAAACCCAGCGTCTTTGGTTGAAATGACAGGAACAATGACTCTGACTTCCTGAAAGGAAGAGTACGATGAATATATATAAAAAGTGCCCATTGGACATCAAGAGTGTGCCACTGCCTTTCCCTTTCTCGAGAAGGTCTGGGGCAAAAATTAGGCAGGATAAGTTCCTGTGATCTGTGGAAAGCGGAGTTGACCTTGGGTAAGAAGGAAGGATCTGGTCGCAAGACCACCCGGTCAGCGTGGAAAATGCAGAGAT